GGAAAAATATTATTTATGTAAAAGAGAAAAGAAAATAAAAATATATTTATTTTTTGGAGTATTTTGAATTTAGGACAAAAACCCTAATTTTATTAAGAAAAGTGTATTATTGTTTAATTTAATACAAGTATTTATTTGTTATGTGTAAAAATAGAAATAAAAATAAAATGAAGTATATTGTGGAAAAAAGTATTTTTGTATCAAATATTAATAAAAATGAAAAATTCAAGTATTTTTATATTTATATTAATAAATATATATGTATATATATTAAATTCTTAAATATGCATTATATACAAAATAATATATATTTAATATTTTAATAAAATAAATAATATATATAAAAAAAAGTATTTTTTATGTGAAATGTTTTCAGAGGGTAAATGAAATAAAAAATGTATTTATACCATTTTTTAATATTTATTCTAAATAGTATATATATAATATTTATGTATAAACAAAGGAAATAAACAAATAAATATGCAATAAATACCAAAAATGATGGAAAAAATATTTTCAAAATTTTAATATGCTGAGAAAAAATAAGCAAGTCAAACAAAAAAGGAAAAAGTCAAAAATGTTAAAAAATGAAACAAATGGGCTCAGGGGGTGTGAATCAAAAAGGGTGGTGTGAAGAGAAATAACACAAAAGCCCAGCCCAAGAAGACACTGTCTTCAACCTTTGGCCAAGACTGAGTTCAAAAACGCGCGCCTCTTGCTTCAACATCAAGGTCCTGATTCTTTGATCCTTTGAACAAACTTCCAACACAAAACATGTAAAGCATAATCTCACGATTTTATACATATAAAAAACATGATCTATCTCTCAGAAATGAGAGAGAATTTCTTCTCTCCCAAATTTTAACCTAATTTTTGTTCAAAGTTCAGGCATCAAATTCTTGCAACACACATAATATAAATAAAATCTACTTATATGGGCATGTTCAGGGCAATGATTATGACATGTTCTCTTCACAAACCTAAAGCTAACAATGCCTTATAAGAGAGATACGAATTCAAAAACTTACCTGTTCAGTTGAAGTTCAAACTGGAAATGTAGGAACCTTCAGTGCAAGGTGATGATTGGAAAAGCTTCCTTGAGGTCCAGGGATGCTGTTTCAATGCTTACTTGGTCTTGAGAGCTTCTGAATCACACTATAGAACTTCAACTGCAAAAGGAAAAAATGAAAATGGTGGAAACTGTTAGGGTGATTACAGGTCAGGTTTTAGGCCATGGTTAGCTTGCATATGTTGTAAGGAAGGTAGAGGAACAGGTTTGGACAAGAATGCTCGAAGGGATTGAGAGATAGCACTCAATCTGCAGGGGTTGCCCTGTTTGAGCAGTTTCAAGGTGGTTATGGCAATGGGAGTGCTTTAGAGGGCAAGGGCTCGTGTGTTAGCTTGGATATGTTCTATGGAATATGTTTGATAACTTCTTTCTTGTGTTTCTATGCTGAAGAGAGAGTTGTGATAAGTTATGCACTTTTCTTGAACTTGAAGCAAACAAAAGCAAGTTGGCTTTCTAGGTCAGTAGAGGACCCCCTAATGTGCTGCATAATCCTCTCTTGATCAGTGTGTTATGCACATAATCTTGTGTCAAGCAGATTTTCCATGTACTTTCTTGATTTGCAATTGGACATAAAGTTGATCTTTTCAAAAATGGAAAGTTCACTTTATCTAGTTTAGGATTAATCTTGCATACAATGCTTGCACTCAAAGAACAACACTTTAACACATTGAATATGAATTAAATTATTGAGTATGGAATGGTTCAAGGACCTGTAATCAAGCATAAAGCAAGCTAAGTTCAGATTTGCAAGTTTATGAACATGTTTTGATGAAGAACAAAAGTGAATTTTTGCCAACTTGTGAAATTCGAATCTCTCAAGTTATGAGGTTGTTTGATGAGTTCTTGGACATTTTGGAAAGCTTGGAATATGTACTACAATCCATCTTTGAAATGCAAATTAAAATTCCAAGTGGAAGGGTATGAAAAGTGGCCTTGAAGTGGAGTAGAAAACCTTGTCAAAATAGGTCAAATTTCACTAAGTTAAAAAATGGTTTAGTGCCCTTATTCAAAACATTGTAACTTGAGATACAAGCTTCAAATGAGAAAACTTTGTGAATCAAAGTTGTAGATTATGCAACAAGCTACAACTTTCATGTTTTGACTTTTGTTTGAATCCAAATGGATCTTTGTGAAAAGATGGGGCAAAGTTGGGAAAAAATTAGGGTTTTTCATAACTTAGAAAAATTCTAAGTTATGAAAAATTCCATTTTCTAACCCTAATTGGCATTTTGTGATTTCTTGGTGAACAAGTTTCATGATTTGGCATATTTTGATGAAAAATGAATCTTGACTCTTGATTTTGACCAAAAAGTCAAAGTTTGACTTTTCAGTGTACAGTCAAAATTGATCAATTGACTGGGAAATTCAACTGTCAATCTTGTGTACTTGGGATCTTTTGAGCTTGATGAACATGTCAAGATAATTCCATGGGGTCCTTGAGTCCATATGTGAGCTTGATTTGTCATTGGCTAGGTCAAACAGTCAAACATTGCCTTTGTTCAGTCAAAACCCTAAAAATGACCATTTTGCCCTTTTGGTGATCTGATCAAATTTCTTGTGGAATTGTGATCCAAACTTGATCAAATGGTCCATATGAGTTCATAATGTTGATGTGGGTCAAATTTTATGAGGTTTGACTTTCAATTGGCCACAGTTGACTTTTTTCCCCAATACAGTTGATTTCTAGGTCAACTGTCCAATTGACTGGGTAAAACTTGGAATTAGGACTTGAAACTTGGTATGGGTAATCTTGTGGGTCAAACATGAACCATAAAAGTCATCTTAGACATTTTAGGTCAAAACATCTTTGTTCACACACAAACCCTAATTTGAGTCCACAGTGCAAGGAGAAGTCTTGAGCAGAGGAAACCCTAACTGGATCTTGATCTTCCAAGATCTTGTGATGAGAAAATGTTGAGGAAATGGGAGGGCAAATTTTGGGGTACAACAAAAATCAAACTAACACATCTCCTATTAATTCTCCTCTAATCAAGTTCTAGACTTTTCACTAAAGAATAGGAAACAACAGATTTAGAAATCTGAATAATAAGAAATAAGAGATTTAAGTATCTGAATAATTAAAACTAATTATTATTATTATTGATAGGAATAAAGTGATAATAGATCTTTTCTAACTTAATCTACGGAATATACTATATTCGAACTCAATTTTAAACCTAGAGTAGTGTTAAATTTTCTTACTTTTAAGAGATAATTGTACTATTTATTGTAGTTGTTTCTATTCAAGAAATTAATGTTTATGTATTCATTTGATTTTAACCAAATAAATAAATAATAATATGAGCAAGAGCAAGTGCATGGTGGATCATACACAATCTCATAACAATCCCTTAAATCCATTTACAACCAATCAACTTTCAAACACATCTCCATACGTGTCATGCTCCAAAGCCAACCCACAAAATCTCTATAATACAAAAAATATCCTCAGCACTATCCATACATCCTCAGCACCACCATGTTCCCATCTGTTAGAACCATAGCTCTACACTCATCTTCACTATGCACAGTCTCATCAGATAAACTATCATCACCATCACCACCACCACCTTCATCAATTCCCAAACCAAACCCAACCCATTTAACTCCCAAACCCAAAAGTCTCCTCCAAAACCACCCTCTTTACACACCAACTCATGAAAAACTCTCCCTTCAATTCAAAGAAAAAATCCTATGTCTTGAAGTAATGGGCATTGATTCAGGTAAAGCACTTTCCGAAAACCCTACCCTTCACACTGCTTCCTTAGAATCCATTCACTCCATTATCTCCTTCCTTGTCTCCAAAGGAATCCAACATAAAGACCTTCCTAGAATCTTTGGCATGTGTCCAAAGATTCTCACTTCGAGCATCAAAACTGATCTCAGCCCAGTTTTTGATTTTCTTGTGCATGATCTCAAAGTGCCTGATCATAGCTTTAGAAAAGTTGTGAACAAGTGTCCAAGGTTGCTTACTTCTAGTGTGGTGGATCAGCTTAAACCAGCTTTGTTTTATTTAAGGAGATTAGGGTTAAGAGATTTAGAGGCTTTGGCTTATCAAGATTGTGTGCTTTTGGTTTCCAATGTTGAGAGGACACTAATACCTAAGCTTAAGCATTTGGAGAGTATGGGATTTAGTAAAGAAGAGGTTAGGTGTATGGTTTTGAGGTGTCCTACATTGTTGACTTTTAGTATTGAGAATAATTTTCAGCCAAAGTTTGAGTATTTTTCTGCGGAAATGGGAGGGAAAATGGAGGAGTTGAGAGAGTTTCCTCAGTATTTCTCTTTTAGTTTGGAGAATAGGATCAAAGTTAGATACATGGAGGTTGTTAATAGTGGGGTCAATTTGCCTTTGTCATTGATGCTTAAAAGTACTGATGATGAGTTTAGGGAGTTGATAAAGAAAGGGGTTGGAGGTGGATGATTATTGTATTAGAAGCATTATGATGAATATATCTATATGTATTTGTATATGTGAATCCATAGATTTGACAAATTGTTTATATGCTATGTTTGTATTTTTCTAGTTCCTTTTTTACTGATTCCTTACATGACATAGCTAATGCTGTCATAAGTTGTTGCTAATGTAATTCAATTGAAGTTGCGTAAGCCACATTTAGCCGCGACTCTGTGCAATCTTAAGGATTGTGAGGCAGCTGTGATTTAAAACCGAAATCGAATTACTTTCTCTTAAATACTTTCAAGACAATACTTACAATAGCATCAACAACTTATAATACAAACAGAGAAAGAAAAAACAGTAGAAGCTGCTGCTACATAAGAGAACTATTTGTACAACACGAGTTTTTGTTTTCAAAACTAATTTACTTGCTGCAAGGAAACCAACACTTCCATTATTCTGAATGCCTGGTGTTTGGTCCCAAGCTTTAAAAAACCAAAACTGAGTTATCAGGCTTTACGAGTGATTTTCTGTTTAGAAGGAGAATTCTTCAGAAATAAATGCGGTCCATGCATCCTGGTTCAAAACAGAAAATATTAACTTAACTTTCACTTCTGCGTATTGTGTGGCTATATATCTAGTATGTATATATTTTACAAACCTGAAGAATGGAGAAAGCCTTCTCTGCTACGTTCTTCTGTAAGAGAGTTGCTCCTCTTTGCTGAAGTTTGTCGGGGTGGAGGCATAATCTTGCTTTCTGATAGGCTTTCTTCACTTGTGAGTTTTCTATTAGGATCATATAAGGAGTAGCAGACCAGCCACTCTCAGGCCACAGAATCTGTCAAATGAAAACATACATGTCAATTCTCCTGGTAACTGCATGCATCAAAGTGGTATAAAATTACAAACACGCTTGAATAAGTTGTCAATGATATGGAAGTATTACATGATGTAGTGTTGAAAGCAGTTGCCTGATGTCGGTTTCCTTGTCAGATGACCACAATCTTATATCTCTGTCTAACTTCTCTTTTTCTGTTTCTACCTTCTGCAGAAGAATAAATTGTTACTACCTTTACAAATAAATTGTATTTTTTAAAAAAATAAATAATAATTCTAATAAATATGATATCATAACATTAAAAAGTATAAATGAGTAATAAAACTATTAAAAATAAATTAAATTTAGTTGACGGATACGGGGCGGGTGCAGGGAGGATACTAACATCACCCACACCCGCACCCGTAAATAAAAATCGGGTTTTTCCCGCATCCGCATCCGCCCCCGGTTAAATCGGGTTTTCTCCGCTAATTTTAGGGTGGAGGTGGTCGGGGCCCGGCGGAACGGATTTATTTACCATGTCTAACTAAAATCAAATGCGACTTATCCTAACCTAATGAAATGTATACCTTTGGAGATTCAACCATTACAATTCCGTCATGGTATTCACCTGCACAAGGCCTTCCTGCATTAGATGATCAGAGGTAAGTACGAAATGTTGCCTTTGTCTGTTTCAAAAGATCTATTCTGCAATAAATATGTACGAGACATTTTTCTATTTGTGTGGCTAACACAATCACCTTCCATTCCAGTATTTTCCTCATTGCCATCATCTCTCAAACCTGGTTCTTCATTAGTTCGCGAATGAAACTTCTCTTTGGCCCATGCAATCGCATCATCAATGGCTTCTGTTCCACAGTTTTCCTCTCTAAAATTAGAGTTAATCTCTATAACATAAGAGCTCATAACTTCATCATCATCCTCCTCATAATCATCATGGTCAACAACTAGTTCCGGAAGCACGTGATCATTAACCAAATATTTTGACTCAGGTTCTTGACAAACTCCAGAGACAGCGGAGAATGGGGGACTGAGTTCCCAGTCATATGCCGATAGTTTGATGCTTTGATATGAATTGGATTCAGCACTAATTATTTCTGGGGATGTGACTCTTCTTGAGCCCCCATTATCATGACGTGGGAAGTAAAATGATTGACCATTACATGGAAAAACTGGCCTCTTCTGTTTAATTGGTTGTTCCTCATGTGTCACAGTGGATGAGTTCCATTTATATGGGACTTTGATTGGCCTGTAACAATCATTCAGTATCATTATAATTACGGACAAAGAAAGTATATTCATATCAAAACTTAGCTCTAAATTGATTGAATCAAATTTGAGCAACTTGGACTCCAACGGTTCTTCAGAGTCATAGCAGAGAAGCCTCATCTAAATTGATTGAATAAAATTTAAGTGACTTGGACTCGATGGATTTTTGGAGTAATAAAGTTTAAGTGACTTGGACTTGATGGATTTTTGAAGTAGAGCAGAGAAGCGTCTAAATTAATTGATGATTTTTTAGAGTAGGAGTCCACTCTTTACTAACTAAGTCAATTTTTATTGCCTACCTAACTCTAAATCTAGTGATAAAAACTAAAACTAAACACTTTTATCACAAAGGGTATAACTGTCAATTCCCACATAACAAACTGAAGCACAAACAGTTAATTAGTTATGATTTCAGTTTCAGTACCTTAGCTTTGAAGCAAAGTCTGAAAGTGCCACGTCATCACTGATATCCGGCTGGAGAGGGCTAAGCTCCTCAGAACTTAACGCCGACGAAGAATTGGACTTCGATTTCGCATTAGACTGTGACCCTGACCGTTCTCTTGATCTCCGGTCATCATCCGACCTGAAGATATCTCCATAAAACGCGTCATCTTGCGTTGGGATCCTAAACACCGGCAAGCTCCGGCCATTATTTGCCGGTGCCGGAGGCATGGACGCCGGTTGCTTGAAAATTTCGTCGTAGAAAGAACCGGACCTGGAGTTGTGCGTGAGAAGGCTTCTAGGTGGACCTCCGAAGACGTCGGCGAAATCTTCAGCGTCCAAGGTTTCCGTTCCAGAGACGGCGGTGTTGGAGAAGATGGACTGCCGTGTTCGTGAAGATGATCGTTGTTCCGTTGATCGGCGGCGAGGAAGTGCAGATGTTAATCCCATTGGCGTTCTCCATGACTCGTCCATTTTCCGGTGAGGTTATTCTGTCTGTTGACCGGAATATTCACCGGCGAAAAGAAAGTGTAGCATGTGTTTATATAGAGTTGAAGAATATAAAGAATACACTAAAATAAAATTTAGAAGAAAAAGTGATTCTTGAAAAAAGTCATTGATTGCCTTTTACTCTTTAATTTATTAAGTGGAAACTTTTTTTTTAATGATTAGCATAGCAAGCTTGCTCCTTCATAATTATTATACGTATCCTATCCCTTTGGTTCAAAGAAAGTGGGAGTAATGAAGGATTTTAATGATCGCGAAAAAAAGAAAGAAAATATTGAAAGTATTTTAATTAGATATTACCTCTGTTTTCTTTATAAGAGACAATTAATTTTTTAAATTAATTAAATAACTAATATATTTAATATATTTATAAATTAGATATATTGATTATTCAATAAATTTAAAAATTAAAATTTCTCTTATTAAAAAAACAGATATAGTATTAATTTGATTTAAAAGATGAGGGGGGAAGAGGAAATTTTTTATATATATATATATATATATATATATATATATATATATATATATATATATATATATATATATATATATATATATATATATATATATATATATATATATATATATATATATATATATATATATATATATATATAACTTTTTTTTCTTAAAAAATAGATTATTTATATGATCGTTTGATCGAGTATTTAACACTTGAGATCCGGTGTCAAATTAAACTTTGACACGTTTAGTGTCATTTGATCATATTCCATATATAAAATATATAAATAAGAAGGAGTAGGTTATACGAGAATATGAAAATTTAATAATAATCATTGGATTTAAACTAATGGTTATGATTAAAATATATTTTTAAAATTTAATTAGTAATTTCTATTTCATCTTAAAATCACCCGATTTTTTGAATTTATAGTACATGATTTTGTGAAAACTATGATTTGATCTGAACCTTTTTTTTTAATTGATGGTTCTTATTCATTCTCACATTCTCAAATAAATTATCTATTCTCACTAAATATATCACACACACACACACGCATGCACGCATGATCGCGTTCCAGATTTCCCCGTCCTCCGTCGGCCACCATCATTCGCTTGTCCTCCTGGACCGACAGTGACCTACGACATCTGACAAGCGTCTCTCAGTCTGCCCGATTTCAAGTCGATCAGACAATCAGGAATCGACCAGACCACTGCTCGTAACCTACCTCCTCTTCAGAATCAACGACTAGTTATGAGCACACCTTCCCGATTTGACCAAGTCCTGACAATTACCTATTTTTGTGGACCCGCATATCTAAGCTCAAAAATAGAAACCAATGACCAAGCACCAGGGACACTATATAAACCATCACTCATGTGAGGGCCAGGTATCGAATATTCAATATTCACCACTAAAACCCTAATATTCTGCTTGTATCTCATTGCTCCCACACTTATTTGATCGTAGGAGTGCCCTACGGTTATAATTCCCCTTTTTTCTCCTCGACTTTTCAGTCCGACAGAAGATCATCATCCGGCTACCTTGCAGGTTCTAATCAATAGGTTCTAATATATATATATATATATATATATATATATATATATATATATATATATATATATATATATATATATATATATATATATATATATATATATATATATATATATATATATATATATATATATATATATATGAAAAATAATTAAAAATAAAATTAGGCCAAATGATAATTAAATATATATATATATATATATATATATATATATATATATATATATATATATATATATATATATATATATATATTCATTTTATAAAAGTAGACATGAATTTTAAAATTTTATTTGCTTTTTTATCTTTAAATTTTCAAAAATACATATTAGAAATTTAATATATTATTTATTATTTTTTCACGTACTTTTTTTAGAGAGTTCATAATAAATTCTTATAAAATATCTGAAAATAAATAATAATCACTAATATTAAATCAAATTTTATAACTCATAGCAATTTTTAATCTTAATCATGCATTTAAATGAATAATAAACTCTTTTGCTTGTTTTCAGAGGTTGAATCCTGAATCAATCTTTTATATTTGATTAATTCAACAAACACATATCAACTAAATTACCTTATCCATATAAGTCTAACTATTAAAATTGAGTCTAACTCATTATTAAAAAACTGACTTGTAAAGTGAGAGGTATCACTTTATATAAACTTTTTTAATGCTTTATCTCTAACTAATGTGGGACTTGAGTTATTCTAATACACCCCTTCACACTCAACACTCTTTTTAAGCTTAGTGCGTGGATTTAAATGGTGCACGGCCCAAGGTCTAATCGATAGGCTCTTATACCATTTGTAACATCTCAAACTGCTTTGAGAATTACCGAATGATCCCATATTTCATTATAAAAACCAAGAGTTCGCATAATAAATAGATCCAACACAAAAACCCCTAAGACTATTGTAAAATATAAAGACAAAATTAAAACCAGAAAAGTGACTCTAAAAACTTTAAAACCAACTAAATCACGCAAATCTTTAACGGGTACTGGTAGGGCAATCTGGCAAAATGTCCAGACTCTCCATAATTGTAGCAGCTTTCACTGCCACCACCTACGCCTTTGTACCTTCCACCACCTCCACTGCTGCTTCCACCCTAGATGCAATATGTAACACCCTTTTAAACCCCAAGGAATATTCACAAATATTTTAATAAATAAATCAGAGTATATCACCAACAAGGATGTCACATCTTCATATAAAACATTATAACGATACATCCTGCTCCGTAACACGAGTTTTCAAAATATTTAACAAGATATGTTCAATATTTAGTACTTCAAATCATTGCATTGGAAATCATAGTTCAAAACACCTCATTATAATACTTCATAAAATTTGTCATACTTCATAACTCATACTTATAATTCAAAACATCTCGAGTACCACGTAGGGTGACTCAACATCTTAAAACAAAACAAATAACATAAGTTCCAATCATTTGATCACAACCCCAATGTTACATATTAGAGCAAGACTCCCTTTATTCAACAAAAGCAAATAAACACACTCCGAAGTTATCTTCTAATGCTTCTACAGACTATTCTCAATCACCTGCGTGTTATCCACGTGGAGGCAACATTCAAATAGAAAGGATAAGTAAATCATAATCATTATATAAGACATAAGAAATTGACATAGTAAATATGCACATAAGCAAGGTTTCTCACATCATCATATCTTTATGTTATACTCACACCTTCACAAACTCATCATTACACGAACACATGTCATCATACACAATATATCATCAAGCATCATAAATAAATCATTATACAATGTCACATAGAATGTAATGCAACATCATAGACTCATGCATGTGGTACCAAAACTTCACTGATGACTCAGTCATCGTTATCTCTAAGGATCCACACCATAGGATCGATTCCTGCTTGGAACCAGAGCACTTCACAAGTTTTCTCTCAATCCACACTATAGGATTGATGGCTTCACTGGACAATCTTCCTATCATCTTCACTGGACCGAAGTTCTAACATCACTGGACCGAAGTCCTAACATATGCCATGAATGCATGATGCGCAACAACATAATAAAAATGACTATAACTAGTCAACATGTATCATCATTCATGATTACATCATCATATCATCATCATAACATCTCATCATCATCTAATCATCATATCATCGGCATAACATCATATCATCCTATAATCGTCTTAATAAAACATCATATCATCAAAACATCGTATAATCATCATCATCATAATAAAACATCATCATAATATCACCATCGTGTCATCATAATATCCAAACATCATCATATCACACTATAATACGGTGGGAGAACTAAATTTTTTAGCATTTTATCGCAAATGTTGCGGTTAGGAAGAGTCGTCACCGACTTTTCTTTTATCCAATATTTAGGAAAGGGTGAAAAGAACAAGAAAGACCTTGTAGATTTTGAGTTCGGGGGGTAAGTTATGAAAAGGGAAGGTATTATCACCCTTTTAATCCGTAGTTATCTACGGACTCTTAATTTCTAGCTCACTTTTGAAAATTTGCTTTTTGTGTGTGTTTTGTTTGAAAATATTTTGAAAAAGCCAAAGTATGGTCAACTTTGTAATGATTCTTGTATCAGTCCTCAAGAACGTATACAAAGTGTTTGAAAATATTTTATTTGAAAAGTGTGATGTGAAAAATGTTCTATTTATGAGCAAGTGTTGTACCCCAAAATTTTCCCTCCCTTTTCTTCAAGATAGTTCTCGCAAAACATTCTCAAATGCTCAAGCATCCTGAAGAGTTGATCAAACAAGCTCACCTCCTAAGCACTGAGTCCAAATTAGAGTTTTAGTTTTCTCAAGGATAATTGGACTTTTAATACCTCAAGTGAATTTGATTTTTCATTATAAGTCTTCAATAATGCTCATACCAAGTTACAAGTCTTGCACCACAAATTTGCTCAGTCAATTGCTCAAATGACTAAAAATCAGTTGTATTGAGTAAAAAGTCAATTGTGGTCAACATATAGTCAAAATTCATGATTTTTGTCCAACATCAACATTTTGAAGTCATATTCATCAATTGGTCAAGTATTTATCATAATTCCTCAAGAAAAGTACTCAAATCATCAAAAGGGCAAAATTGACCAAATTAGGGTTTTGACTGAGAATGGCTGATCATTGACTTTTGACCTAGTACATCAAATAATGGATTGAAGCATGATCTCAAGGACTCAAACACAACATGTTGACCTAATTTCATGGCTCAAATCATTTCTCAAGATCAAGATATTGATATTTGAATTTTGGATCAACTGATGAAAAAGTCAAACTTTAACTCTTTGGTCAACATTGAATTTCCAAGATCAAGATTCATCAAGACATTTAGAAATATCAAACTTGATCATAAAGAATCAAGAAATTCAAAAAAAGTTAAGATTTTCAAGACTTAGAAAAATTCTAAGTATT